CAATATCGGCGCCAGTTATCGAGCGATCCCTTATAAAACCAAATTCATTTTATGAAACAATTTATTTGTATTAAACAAACTTAACATTTGATCTAAAATGATTTTTTCAATAATATTACTAAATGTTGGCAGTACGGTATAATTGGCGGGGTCTAATGCACTACCAGATTTAAATAAAATTTAATAAACTTTACTGTGTTTCCTTAGATTATTGATAAGTCATCGCACGCTCTGACTAGATACCGCACTACCTGAAAGTAACAGCTCTGCTCAGCTGAATGCGGCATCTCAATATTGTAGTGTGTATAAGACAATTTGCAAGGATGCTAGTATGCGTGAAAAATTGCATATACCAGCAGCTTAACTATTACTCGATTAACGGGAAAATTTATTTTATGCTATGGCTTAGTAGTAAGTTCATAGTTGTGAATGTGCCTATTCCAGAAATACTTAAAAATGAAAAATTTATTAATAACGAATGTATCAATATATTTGTGCATATTATGTATAGGTTTTTCTTCTGAATAAATGACAAATAAATGATATGGGCTCATTTTTATCAGTTTAATTTTTTTTTATTTTCATGTCTAACTAATATTCACAAATTACCTAAAAAATAGCTATATATATATGGTGTAATCACAATATTGTTTTCTATTTCTATTCTACGCGTCAATATGAACAACTTTTACTATAGATCTATTTTCATAATCGTAAAAAAATGAGGTCTTCCATACATTTTGAACAATTTTGTACAAAATTTTGTATGGAATAACTGACTTTGAGATTTTCTTTATAGGATCAGGGTGACAAACGAGCACACAGTCCACCTGATGGTAAGTGGTTGCTGTGGTCGATAGACATTTACATCTATCCTCGATTAAGAATCAAAATGCAGATGCGTTGTAACCCCAGAAGACTAAGATGGAATGCCTCGTTTCCAGTAAAAACGGTCTCCGGTTCTCTACTCTCACCATACGAAACAGCAGCGTTAAGCTGCTATTTTACACTGCTATTCTGTGAGAGCGTGGTTCTTCTTCGGTCGAGCTGACCCATTCGTGCTACAACTATACCAGTAATATAGCTGCTGAAAATTTCGAAGATGATCCCATAATAAAAATTATTCATGTTGGCGGGCAGAATCGTTCCCTAAGTTATCGAGTACTATTTTGTTACACCTTTACTTAGTACATAAGATCGGGGAAAAAGTTCCTTCGTACTTTGTATACAGATTCAAAACGTTTATGATTTAAAGTTTTATTATATTTCATTATAATATATATGGGTCCATTTTGTTCGATAACTTGTTGCCATCTTGTAGGTAGTGACATAATCGCGTTGCTGTAGAAATCTTGGGATTTTTGATTTTAAAAAAATGCGACAAGTAGTTTTATTTGATATATTCAATAGCAGAGATTTGAAGGAGAACATGGATTTAGTCATCCCATTTATAATGGAAAAAAATAATAATATTCTTAATTATTTAGAACACGCGAAACAATATATTATAAACTTAAATATGAAAACCTCCAGAAAGCTTTCTTTTAAAGAACACAAGCAACAAAAGAAAATAATGATTAAAAGTTTTAAATCAGTTTTAAGTACTTAAGTTAATTATGAATTTTTAGGAATGTCATTGTGTATTGATAGTCTCAAACAGATAGCTAATCTTATGATCTGGCGTTATCATGATGAAAGACCACTCTTTTTCTGATAATCAGTGCCAACCGTTTTCTTTTTCTATTTCTTGCTTGTCGCATTATTTGTTGGTAGCAAAGATCTGAATCGATGGTTTAACCCGGCGGTAAAAGCTCATGATAAACGATACCCTTTCAATGCGACCATACACACAGAATCATTTTATTGCGTGTAAGGCCCGCCATATACATACGGAATTCCGTTTCGAGATTCCGTTTCGGAATTTCGAACGGTCGGCCACACACAAACGGAATCCCGTTTTGCCCGCAAAATATCGAACGTAAAACTACCGTACGTGTGTGACGGGTCATAGAATTTATATGGACTTGCTGCGTTCGGGATTCCGAATCGGAATATCGAAACGGAATTTCGAAACGGAATTCCGTATGTATGTGGCCGGCCTTAATCCAGGTTTCGCTACAGTCTGTAAACAAAACACATATCAATACAGAAAAAAATCACGTTTGTTGTATGGCCTTCATACAATAAATGTGATTTTTAGGGTCCTTTAATATTTTATTTTATGTTGTTATAGCAGCAATATAAATACACATTCTGTGAAAATTTCAAGTATCTACATATTACGGTTCATAAAATACAGCCTGCTGACAGACAAACGGAATGATAGTGGAGACTTGGGTCCCGTTGATACTCTTTGGGTACGGAACTCTAATAAAAGGAAATTAGGTCATTTGAGCAATACTACAGAAATAAACATTAAATAATATAGAATTAGGTTATATTATAATATGTTAAATATATCTTTATATATAAAAATTACGTGTCACATTGTTTGTCCGCGATGAACTCCTAAACTATTGAACTGATTTCAATGAAATTTTGCACACTGTGTGCAGTTTGGTCCAACTTGAGAGATAGGATAGTTTTTATCCGGATAAGAGACCCTCAAAAATTTTTATTTGTAATTTACGGATTTTTATAGGTATAAGCGTTTTCGGAAAGGGCAGAACAACGTCTGCCTGGCCAGCTAGTTATATTTTTTTGTTCATTTAAAAAAAAAGGTTACCCCCACACTAGTATTTTCTTCTGTGTCGTGGAGGCAGTTACTTATCTTCACGCACAATCCCTGACGGGGTAGCCAGAGAGAACAGATCGCCAAGTGTCACGATCCTTACATACCTCTTTCGGTTCTTTCAGATTCATTATCTTCTTCATACATGCACGTCTAGGTATCCGAGTACTCTTGACCCTACCCTCTTCGAGCAATAAGCTCACATGGTCTTCGAAAGTTAGTCTCGGTCTACCTCGACACCTTTTAATATTAACTTTCGCGCTATATATTTTCTTCACAATTCGATCTTCATTCATTCGCTCAACGTGCCCAAACCACCGAAGCACGCCCTTATCAATTTTTGTGATAATGTCATCTTTCAAACCTGCCATATTGCGAATCTCTTCGTTTCGCTTTCGGTCGGCCATGGTAACGCCGCACATTTTACGAAGAGACTTCTTCTGGCATACCCAGGTTTCGCTGCCATATAACAAAGTCGCTACCAACACTGCGTTATGTATTGCAAGGCGTGCACTCTTCACTACGCCTTGCCTTTTGACTTACGCAGTCAGGGCACCATTGACTTTGTTCCTGTTGTTGTCTGGATGTTTGTCCTTGTGCAATTTATGTTTACAAACATAAATTGCACAAGGACAAACATCCAGAGCCGGAACAATTATTTGTAGGCCATACAAATACTTGTTCCGTGCGGGATTAGAACCCGCGACCCCCAGCGCAACAACTGATTGCTGCGCCACTGTGCCACGGAGCCGTCGTACATATATTATGTAACAATAAATTCACATATAAAAATCTCAGCCACGAGGAACTTTATTTTTGTATACGCGGCAACACTGAATGGCGTCATTCATATTTTGTGACTTATTTATGGCTCGTGTTTTTTTATGTTGAAATTTCGAAATTTTATGATACTTGCTGATAGTATGTGATCCCAGAATCTTTCTTATTTCTTGTAGTATTATGTTTATATAGTTTCACTACGTCAACTGGTATTTTACTTCGGGTTATGATCATAATTTAATAAAACATTCGATACGTCCACCTCACACGTTGCCTGCAATGCGACTGGCTCGGGTACGCCGATTTCAGCGTAGTATTTGTTGCCGCATTTTACAAGAGCGCCGGCGGTATTCAATGCGGCGACGACTTAGGCCGGCCACATACATACGGAATTCCGTTTCGAGATTCCGTTTCGGAATTCCGAACGGGTCGGCCACACACATACGGAATCCCGTTTTGCCCGCAAAATGTCGAACGGAAAACGACCGTACGTGTGTGGCGGGTCATAGATTTTATATGGACTTGCTGCGTTCGGGATTCCGAATCGGAATATCGAAACGGAACCTCGAAACGGAATTCCGTATGTATGTGGCCGGCCTTATCAATAATCTAAGTGTGTTTCATTAAATCATGAAGCAATCCAAATTAGACGCTTGTATTAAAAATAGTGGCTAGATAAGTTGCTATTGTATCTATTACAGATGCAATAATTTTCACGGAAATCCTCCATAAGTCTGCTGTTTTCTTAAAATCAATAGTTATAAAATATTTAACGATATCTTTTAGCAATACTCTATAGAATTTAAAAGTTTTTGAACAAGCCTTTACATTTTATATATGGCGGGATTAGCCATATATAAAATGTAAAGGCTTTTTCGTTATGTTAGGCAATGATTCGGCGACAGTAGGAGAATTTAAAGATTTAGGCTCGCCACATACATACGAAATTCCGTTTCGAGATTCCGTTTCGATATTCCGATTCGGAATCCCGAACGCAGCAAGTCCATATAAAATCTATGACCCGCCACACACGTACGGTAGTTTTCCGTTCGATATTTTGCGGGCAAAACGGGATTCCGTTTGTGTGTGGCCGACCGTTCGAAATTCCGAAACGGAATCTCGAAACGGAATTCCGTATGTATATGGCGGGCCTTAGTTGTCAAAAAAAAAAAATACATCACTTAAATGTTTCTCAAAATCCGTAGCAATTTCTTAACCTGATTGAGTCAAATTATCGTATTGCATTTTGGTGCTAAATCGGTACATATATATAAATTTCATCAAAACACGTATTGTTTGATTCATTATGACAAGTCTTTACAGGTCCACTCCTAACCGCAAGCTACCCCATAAGTTGCCACGAAGTACAGTCATAAGCTCTCACTCTCGCCGCTCATCGAATCCCTGCATACATGCCTAAGACTACTCGATTCCTCGATTCTCAATAGATATTTTGGCATAAGTAAAATAAATTTTATTCATACATATTATGCACGTTACAGTTATATGCAATTTTAATCTCATCGGTGCTACAAAGCAATTGAAAAGGTCCAATCTAAACATTTCTTTGGGTGGTTACGGAGATTTGTTTCAAAGAGCGGGATATCCTAATGTTGGGGATATACCCCTTCTTAATCGAAAAGTAAGTAAGTTTATCCAAGCATATTTGTATACATGTTTATTTTATGTGTAATTAATTTATAATACTTATGGCGTATTATTGGGCTCCAAATCCCGAAACGAAATTGTCGAAAATCTGAAATAAAATCAAACCCAATGACCAAAAAATAAATTTGAAACAAATACATGGGATAAAATGTTTACACGAATAAAAAAACCTTTTGTGTGTGTCGTGGAACGCTCGGTTGGAACGATGCTCCTTTCGTATTATATAATTATTGATAAACGTATTATATTATTAATTAACAAATACAAATAAATGAATTACTAGCGTCTATTAAAATGAAGCGTTATTTAAAATAAAACAATATTTCTTTCATGGCAAGATAAGAAAAAGTGCGTGGGACATGGATATTATTCTATCTCGCTTCCTAATAGCCGCCAAGGCCATTTACATTACGTCAGAAGGAGTTGTGACGGAAAAATCTTACACTTTTTCTCGCCTAGCCCCCCATCCGCTAAATTCGTACCGTCCGATAAGGAGCTTCGTTCCAAACATATCTCTTTGAAAATACTACCTCGTCCTTCTCTAGTTTGATTTTAATATTTTAGCGTCACTAGCTAGATTTTAATCTTTAAGCCGGCGCCAGATATAGCAACAACATTTGAATACTTTTTTGAAGGACTTTGCACACTTGCTTGAACACTTATTGGCGCAACCTGCCAGCCAAGCTTTGCAAACACATATCTCCACAGTACGTTGATAAATGACAAACAAGATGTTGTGGATGCAGCGTGCCTGTATTATTTAAGTGCATGTCATTATTTATTACATCTGCTAAAATAATACAATAAAATACATTACAATAAAATATTTAAATACAAGATTATCTATTTCATTCATAAGTACTAGTCTGTCATCTTCATCCAAGGGCTTTATCTTTTCAGATAACAGCTGACCTTAGCTTATAACATTCATTCGATTGTTTTTTACTGCCTTTATGCTTGGAACTATTTTTAAAACGTACTGCGATCAACCGTCCCGCTGGACGACGCTCATGCGAATGAACTTTGCGCAAGTGTGGCAGGTTACGCAAACATTTGAACACTCGACTTTGAACGCTTTGATGTGCGCTAAAAAACCGAAACCGCTTGGCAAAGTGCATTTCTTTGTACACTTATTTGAACATTGATTCAAAGTCCCGTGCTACACATAGCTTCAAACAAGTGTTCAAATGTTTAAAGCTGTATCTGGCGCCGGCTTAAGGCATGTATTAGGCATTTTTGGATAGTAATTAGTTAAAAAAAAAAAAGAGTCTCGTTCGATAGTCAACGGGTTGCATCCGTGCAGGGAAAAATGACATTTGAAGAAACATTTTTTACACCACACTAAAGTAATTATTAATACATATGATTAAATTAAAAACTTTTTTATTTCTTTTATCTATAATTAAGTAGTGCAACCTTTTTCTTTTAATTGAATCTTTTTTATTCATGTTCGGGATTAAATGATAAAGTTCAGAAACGAATAATAAATACCCATCATAATAGTAATACAAAAACTACTTGTGTGTTCAATATATTATGGCATGTTTTTTTTTATTGTCTTTTATATATATTAATGTCCGCAACTTCTAATTAAAAAATTTGTGGTTATAAAAATAGTGAAACTTTCGTTGTCTACCCTCTTATTTTTGGCAAATTGAATAGAAGTTAATTAATTAATGATTGCAGGTGTTCACGTGCTGCAGTAACTATACTGCAGCACGTGAACGCTGACATTCCTAGTAGACAAACCTAGTAGAATCCTTTGCTTCCTCTCTTACCGTTGAAATTGGAACAGAGCAGTTGCAAAATTACTGTTTGTCGACAAGATTAGGCGAGATGGCAGTACCAACTCAGACGGTTAAAATTTAAAAATATAAATAATCGCATTTTAAAACCTATTTTTATTGTGAAAGTTAACCATAAGTACGCATTATAATAAATTTTAGACTATACTTTTTAGAGATTGAGATAATATAGGTCATTTATAGCATGTTTGCCAATATTTAGATTTACTTTAGAAATATGGGTTGAACTCGTCACTAAAGGAAAATAAAAAGTATTGTAAAAGTAACAAGTGAACGACATCATCGTGAAAAATGTTTTCGATTGAATATGTAATGATCTAAAAACTTTTAAGTTGTATGCTGAGTGATGGACTTGTAGCTTTAACCTTATTTGACTACCTTCTCGGCAATCTCTTTTTATTGTAAAATGTATGTAGTGTACTTTAAAACGAGTTTTGTTTATTGTATACGTTTGGTTCTCGTGACAATGCACGATTACTTAAATATGCCACCATTTTAATCCAATATGGCGGACGTTACAAAATAGAAATTTATCATTTCCACAGCTGATATGGATATCAAATGAAAGGGCTTGATATGTGAAATACAATCAGTAGAGTGACGTCATACTAAATCTAATATGGCGCGCACCCAAAGATGGTAAACTGTGTTTTTATGTACCTCCATGATATGGATACCAAATGAAAGTTTGCTGAGAAGAATACGAGTAAAATGATTTCCACGTTTAGCTTCATCAATTTATTACATTACACAATTTATACGATATCAAAGCTTGTCACGAGATCACCTGTGTACATAAACAAGATTACAATATTATGTAACTTGATATTGACATAAGTAGGTAATTCTAAGAAAAAAATAATGTTTTTATAAAATAAGTAAATCTTACGAAATCTTATCATATAAATTGTGTAATGTATTTTTATTTTCTTCTGTTTAGAGCATATTACGAGTAATAAAAGCTGTTTTTTGTTTTAAAATGTTTTTGCTATTAATTTTATATATAGAGATTAGGTTGTTGCAATGTTAAAGTTTGCTTTTCAACTTTTCTTTTTTATTTAAAACAAATTTTTACTTCTTCATCAGTCCAATAAAAGTTTGCTGTTTTTCTCCTGTGTACAAGACGAGATTACGCAGCTAATGAAAATATAAAACAAATCAATCACAAGGAAAATCTGACCCTGACCGGGTTCCCTCTTTTACTGGACGGCCTTATCAGCTATGCTTAGTAGCCGTGGCACAGAGTAAAGAGTAAGGACTTCCTTTCCTCATGTGGCCGAGGCTTGGTCAATCACGGTGAACTAAGAGAAACTCACATGACTTGCCAGAGGAGAAAGGCCGGCCCGAGGAGGGCTATGGGAGTGTTTTTATGGTGAGGTGGCACTCGCCCTATCCGCCGTGACTCGTAAATGTGTCGAAGCGTATCTGCGATACACGCGATAAATGAGAAATACTTGCTAACGGACCCTACGGAGCGGGTACGCGTAGACATTACCCATTAAAAAAGGGGAAGAGGTGAATTTGTAAGACAGAAAGGTTTCAGTTTGTGGTATCTAAAATTTAATTTTAAAACATAGCTACCAAAATTTACTGACGAAATGTATGCAAGTAGATTCTAGAATTCAAGTCCACTATTTGTGCAATATCACAGATCGTTGGCTTTCCGGTTTCGCTAGGATGTATGTGACGCTCGTATCTCTTAAAGTATAACACTGATCTTATCTAATAATTAATAAATCATGGAACAAGATTTATTAATTGTTATTTTCTTCCTGATGTGTGAACAAACAAACAACTTAAAAAAAAATTAAAATGAACGCAGCCAGCGTTCTTGGCACGATACCGCGAGGTGTAGGACTATATGATAATTAAGTTTCTATTTTTAGTTTCTTTTATTATTATAGTTTTTAATATTGTATATAACTTTAAAAGTATAATCAGACAATGTAATCGATAGTTTTAATATATCTTCAGATATTCAATGGATTTCGCGTGGCAGCACAGGAACATCCGTACATCGTGAGCGTTCGTCGACTACTCACACATTACTTAACGGCAACTTTGCTCACGAAAAATATAGTCATCACCGCCGCTTCTCCCCTGCAAGAGTAAGTTCTATATGTCTTAAACCACGGATTGCTTTAGATTTTCAAAAATTCACAAAAAGTACGCAGGAATTACGTGATTAAATTCCTTCCTCACCCATCCATCATGTTTCCCTATAGTACAAGTGTCCATATTTAAATACCTGGGTTTTTAAATATGGATTTATTTGACTCCAACCTGAATACGCAATATCGTATAAAATACAGTGTCAGCGCGCAAATCAGTTTGGGTATTTAATAAATTACGACGAATTTCAGATACTACACCTTTTTGTCATTGACAGTCAATAAATAACAGGTCGTCTACCGTTTGTATTAAGTAGTATTCCAGAATAATAGAAGAGCTCATAATATATGTCCAGCATGTCCGATTGTCCTCATCGTTTTCAATACGTCCTTGGCACACACCTGTACAATAAATTACACGGGTGGGGTTTATTTGGAGGACTTCGCTACCCCTCTGGACACCGATTGCTTGCTATTTAACGTTTTTGGAAATGGTGGAAGTAATAAAATATGTTTACTTATTAAAATAATTTTAAAACTTAATTTAATGGTGTATTATTTGGTGCAAGAGCGAGCGAAACGAGCTTGGGACTTGGGGCACTCCGACTCGGACAGGTTGGGTTCCAAGGGGGTGGCGGGGTCGAGCGAGCGAGCGAACAGACCCTTCCATCCAATTTATTAACGTAAAGCTCGAGCGCGCGCGTGACAAGCTCACGGAATTAGCCTCATGTAGACGACCGCGCAGCGTAGGTATATTTTCATAACTAAAGCGCGGAGTGAGACAGGCCTGGTAATAGTATATTATGGTACATTGATACCTATATTTACAAGAAAATTTAAGTAGACTTATTTGACAAGCGGTAAAATCAAAAATTTTGTAGGTACTTCTTCATTTTTAATTTTGACTTCAATATATATAAAATGAGAACATCATCAATTAAATACGCAAATTTATATGGGACCATATCAGAAGCACATGCTTTCTAATAAAAATAGAATCATCAAAATCGCTGGGGTAATGCGGGCGGGTTCATATCCCGCACGGAACAAGTATTTGAATGCCCTGCAAATAATTGTCCCGGGGTCCCTGCCTCCACGAAACAGGAGAAAATCCTAGTGTGGGGGTAACGTTTTTTTATATATATCTATACTAATATAATAAAGCGGAAGAGTTTTTTTGTTTTTTTGTTTGTTTAAACGCGCTAATCTCTGGAACTACCAGTCCGATTTGACAAATTCTTTTTGTGTAATTATCCAGATTCATGTGGAATAGTATAGGCTATCTAGCATTAAGCTATATTACTCAACTTGCCCTAAATATGGATATTTGTTAAGCAAGTCAGAAGAAAAAGCACTCCCGAAATGATTTATCTGCGTACGCTGGTGTTATCGTTAGGGATACGTAAATACAATGTTGTAGAAAAATATAGACCTTTACTCCGTCTAAAAAAAAGTCTGCGATACCATATGTCTATTTCTTATACATAAGCCATAATTTGGTATTTTGTGACAATAAAATATTGAAAATTTAAAAGTGATTTTACATCGAACGAAACGAACGAACGAAAGTTACATCATCATCAAGACAATTTTATGACGATAAACTTTGTTCTTTATACCATGTTATTTGGACGCATAGTTTAAGAGATAATGTAAAATTAAAATAATTCAATACTTGGCTGGGCGCTCGAACGTCGCTTAAACCCTAGCCGTTATAAAATGCTTGAACTAGGTCATGTCGCGCACCTCGGACACGTGATGACGCGGGTGAAACCGCGGGGCACAGCTAGTATTATATAAAAAAATACTAATAAGGTGCATGCGGGTAATAAGACCTGACGGCTAATAAGGCCTGAGTAACAAAAATCATATTTACTCGTATAATAACCGCTCTCGCTTAAGGAAATAAGAACAGACTCCCAGTGCACGATAATGTCTACAAGTTTGCAGGAACGCGCTACCCCGCGTCCTGCCACCAGAGTTGCATTATCTATCATAACATACGACCGCACTGTACCAATAATAAAAATCAGACCAAATAAATCGTAGATATGTTTTCTAATATTACACTTTGCTATCTAAAATCGTAATCTGTATCTTTATGAATAAATGCAATTTTGTCGGCGGTTAAGACCTACTAAATTTCACCATAGGCCATTTATACTTTATACTCCTTTATCTTGTGTAGTTTTTTTGTATTATTATAAATTTTATATCACTTTTAAAATGTTGCAAATAAATCGTACGCTTTTATTATTAAACTAATGTCGTAGTCAGAAAAAGGCCTGGTTTCAACAGTGCAAAGACAAAGTGTATCGAAGAGTTAAGACTTTGACATTAGAAGCTATTAAATTTTGTGTAAATTATTGGTCCTGCGCCTAAGCTCTCTCGGACCGTGTCGGATTACGATTTGATGATTGTGAGGGAATAGAGAGTGCACCTGTGCTTGCGCATGCATTCGGATACTATAATTTTGTACTGTGCTGATCGGCTAGTCTCCGTTTAGACTGGTCGCTGTGACAGAAATTTGGTTGGAAGGACACTGAAATCAACGATAAACCTAATTCTCAAATCAACCTAACACTCAACTCAACTCGAGACGCAACCTACGCACTGATGATAATCACGAGGAGTGAGTTTGTTTGTCAGTTTGTTCATCATTATACTAATGAATTTAAGTACTGTTAGGCGAGGCAATATATATTTTTTTTAGAATTTTAAGTCTTGTAAGCTTGCGTCCTACATGGGTGAAATTACCGATGATGTTGCGTCCGACCGACTTGTTGTGTTCAGTATACAGACGCAAGATTGACCCACTCTGATAGCCAATAGACTTCATATAATCGGTAAACCATTTAGTCAAAAATTGGCATGGACGTTATTTCATCTTTGCAATGAATTTCGGCGAATACTTTAGTTCCGCGACTTGCCGCACATCAATTGAAGGTCGCTACCTCGATGCTGTATATTTGACTTTTTTCTCCATCTATTACCCCGCGTATACCGTTAACGTATATTGTAGAGATTTTCAAAGTTTTGTCAACTCAAATCGATGATTTAATTACTTCCACAAAGTGACCTCACGATATGGGCTGTACGGGAAAGTAACGACGAAAGGGGACGGGAGGCTCTCACGATTCGTGCTCAGGCACGTGGCGAATATTTATTTACTAGCTAATGGTCGCTGGTCGGTCATTTGGAGTCCGTTTGGAGCGGTCGCTGTATAATCGTAAAAAAAGTGATAATTTTGGGATCGTCTTAAGGTAGGAAGGTTCCTAGAAGAACAAAAACATTAGAAAACATTTTTCTTGCAACTGCTCAAGCTCCTCCTCAGATTCAAGCTACCTGAAATATTGATGATATAGAGAAATAGCTTGTACATAATATGTAACTACGGTAGTCCCGAGGTTGCAAATTGGGAGCAGGGAGGCGTGCAGGAAGCGTTCGGATAGGGCGTAAAAACGTTTTTAACAGTGGTTTTTAACAGAGCCACTCGGAAGCTTTTGATGTCGCACGGATTGTTCGACTTGAACCAAGGTGTTACACGATCTCATTGACTACCAGCGTGAAGTAGAAGTTTACTTCTGTATTTCACCTGGTAGGTACAAGTGGACGGAGGTCCGATTCACCTCACCCCCTTAACATGGTAGCGGAGTTAAAAAAAAAACTACCCAGAAGGGTACCAGCAACTTTGGTGACGGAGATCCGCTGCTGAGTATTCACGCTCACGCTACACTACTCTTCCTTAGCATGGTTGCTCAGGCTACCCTGTGTAGTCAGTCTTGAAGGTATGGACCTGCCCATCCTATTGCTGCGCGTAGACAGCCACAACCATCCCAGCGTTTATGTGTACCTCTATAGGTTCCATATAAGTAATGACGACACAGACCGACTCACCGACCACGTCCAAATGCTGCAGACTCCGTTCTACTACAGGTTCCATCAGGAGATATCGTGATTCTCGGTGATTTTAACGCATACCACGCTGGATGGCTTGGTTGCCGTTTAACCTACCATGCGCGTAGATCTGTTTATGACTTTGCCTTGGCATATGGCCTGACACAACTGGTTACTTCGCCTACGCGGATCCCAGATGTAGAGAATCATGTACCTTCCCTGTTGCACCTTCTGCTGACCTTCATTCGGACGGATATAGGTGCCCGTCGATGCCCCTCTTTGCTCTGCGGACCATTGTCTGATCCAGAGTACGGTGCCACTCACGCTACCTCAAGGTTATGTTCTGCAGGTTGCCGCCGTGTTTAGGATAAGAATAGGACTGACATTCTGCTTTGAATAGCACACACAAATTTGGGGGTTAATAATACTATACCATGTGTTGAAAAATCAACACAGACCAGACAGATGACCTGGTCTGAATATTGTAGACTTGACATTTTCACTTTTTGTTGAACATCACACGCCCAATCGAAAACATAAAACAATGGAGAAAGAACCGCTTTAGTTTTATATCCTGGTTCTATAACCTAAGTATAAACTATACACATAGATCAACACGAGCCACTGGCGGACCGGAGGAGAGTAGCCATAGCGTTTTCTCCCGATACAGATCTGTCTGTCACTTTTTTCGGGGCAAAAAACTGCGCACACAGAAACGATCGTCTGTCACTACGAAACTTAGAAAAAACAATAAACTAACAATTCCACACACACATAGATACATTATAATAGTATCGTTTATTATTTATTCGGATCAGTCGCTCGACCGATCTGCATATTGTACGAAGGCGAGCGGCATGTGTTGATAAACAAATCTGAAACAACACGACCGTTATTTTTGTAATTTTTAAAAAATAAGTATGTAGCAATAATGTGATTAAAATTACTTATATATGAAAAATAACGCCATCTTTTTGTAAATTTGACGTGACAGATTTCCTATTGCAGCGGAATAATCCGGCATTTTTGTAGGACGTCGATTCAGCCACGCCACTAGATTTAGTCTTGTAGGACGGCGTGAAATTATTCTTTGACAAAGAGTAACACCTGCGTATTGATACTTCCCTCCCGTCCATCGGTGACCCGTTTGAACTTTTTAAAAAGTAAACATTAAATTATAGCATCTGATGTAAAATTAAACGCATTGAGATCTTTCAATTTTCTAAAACTCGGTGAAAACGTAATGTCGTTTGGCGTTTAATTTACGTATACTGGAGCTTGATCTTTATATAATAAGCCTACTACTTTGCAAAAGTGTCTATTTTGGTTTCCCATCTCCCTACTCCTAAAAATAATGTTCTAAACCTAATTTCACTCGAGTTAAGTTACCACGGGCAAAATCTAATAAAAGATTCCATAACTTAAACAGTATTTTCGTTTGTTTTAATTTGTATTTGTAAATCTTTTGTTATGAGCTTAATAATTTTGTCTTTTATTTTATATTGGTCAATAAGGTTCGTTTTTTAAATTTATACGTTATTTGCTTTGAAACAACATAATATTGGAAATAATTTTACTTTGCTGTACGTTGTAACATAAATATTGTACATAATTGTATAATATTACTCTAAAATATTTACAAATTACCTTCATGACAAAAAATTAAATTAACTTTTTCTTTTTAGAATAAAAAACAAAAATAGAAATTTTACATATTAGCATAATGCATTTTGTATTGCTTTTGAGTTTATCACGTCCGTACATGTGTCCGTACCGCCTGTAATATTATCTATATTTAATCGAAATCCTGTTACTAATCTTAAGAAAAGTTACAATAAAAGTTTCCAAAGCTATTCAGGAGACACTAATGGATTACCTAAGTTCAACCACTGCTTTTACACTACTTACTTGTCTGTTCCAGTAATTTCTTAAAATTACACAAATAACATATATAAAGTTAAATACTTGGATTAGTAAGCAGAAGGTTTTTTTTATAGGATAGGGTGATATACAAGCACACAGCCCACCTGATGGTAAGTGGTTGCGGTGACCTATAGACATCTGCATCTATCCTCAATAAAGAATCAAACTGCAGATGCGTTGTCACCCGTGAGGACTAAAATGGAATGCTTCTTTTCCAGTAAAAAGGGTCTCCGGTTCTCTACACTCACTATACGAAACACAGCAGTGTTAAGCTGCTATTTTATGCTGGTATTCTGTGAGCGCGTAGTCCTTCCCCGGCCGAGATGATCGTAGATGTATACGTGGTAGAGCCATACTGCAGCTATATTAGTAATATAGTTGTAGCACGAATGGGTCGGCTTGATCGGGGAAGGACCACGCTCTCACAGAATACCAGCGTAGAATAGCAGTTTAACGCTGCTGTGTTTCGTATGGTGAGTGTAGGGAACCGGAGACCCTTTTTACTGGACAAGAGGCATTCCATCTTAGTCCTCATGGGTGACAACGCTTCTGCATTTTGAGTCTTTATTGAGGATAGATGTAGATGTCTATGGGTAACAGTAACCACTTACCATCAGGTGGACTGTGTGCTCGTTTGTCACCCGATCCTATAAAAGAAGTGGCAATGGGCCGGCCATATAGCTCGAAGAACCGACAACCGATGGGCAAGAAAGGTTCTTGAGTGGCAGCGTCGTACCGGTAAGCGAAGTGAACTCCTAGGTGGAGTGATGACCTGGTAAGACATGCAGAAGTCAATGGGTGCAGATACCTCGGGACCGTGCTTTGTAGCATTCCCAATATCACTACAACTAATTATAAATATATTTCTTAATAATTGTTTTACGAGCCACTATTGCCCATGGGTGAACACATTATTTAATAGTAGTTAAACGAGCAACCAGAGTTCGATCTCAGCCGGCGACGCGGTATTAGTTAATCACAATTTACTTCCCGATTGCCCATGTCAATCAACCAACATTACCAGTCTCGAGCACAAGCGTAAAGTGACCAGCCTTTTCGGTGTTTTACTGGATATATTTCGGAGAATACATGATTTAATTCCTGCTTTTCCATATATATATATATACATATATACCTTTGTGGTCGACATACCTCGCATCCGAACGAAACGGCTTGCTTCGTCGTTCATAATGAGTACAGTACAGTAAAGGAGTGGAATAATTTGGCAGCATCTGTCTTTTCATCCGATCATAACGTGTGTCTTCAAGGCAAGATGAATAGGCGTTTGTTAAGCTTAGTCAGTGCGCGTTACCATCTCCGGCTGCTCACCACTTACCATCAGGTGGGATAGTTGTCAAGCGCATGCTTATAATAGTTAAATAAACTTTTAATTCTGTCGCCAAATAAGTGCTCCTCCTGCTCGTGCTCCTGCTGCGTCCCGGTCTGAAGGATATAAAGAGCCGGTGTAATTACACACTGAGGCATTTCATCTTAGTTCTCATAGGTGACGCCTCTGTAGCCTCTTTTGTTTGAAGTTGGCTGCTGGTATCCATGGACTGCAGTAGCCACTTTAAGGTAGACTATAAGCTCCATAACAGTCTATTAAATTTCACTGCTGAACATAGGTCTCCCACATAGATTGCCTCATAAGAGATTTGTCTTTGCGTCGCTTGGCAAGCGGGAAGGCAACCACAGTTTTATTTTTTATTTTTAATCGTTTTTAGGAAGACGGTGCTGCACATTTCTTGATTTTTTTTCCCTCTGTCGTCTCTTGCAACGCCAATGGGATGATATGGGGTAGTAGAAATACTTACACCGCCACTACACAACACAGACTATAAACTTATTTTATAAACATCTGGCTGAAACATTCCATCTAAGCGTAGAAACTGGGTATCATGGGGCATTGCAACATATAAAAATACGCAACTGTATCACATTAAGTGGCGGCCGCTCGAGATTTGTTGATTTGTTGATGAACATTCCCCGAATGTTCATCAACCGGGACTTCTTCCCTTTTCTTAAAGATCTGAGTGTAGAGTATTTATTAGGATAGAATAGATAAATCGTCGTGCATGTCAAATATACGCTCTTTTACTATTGTGTCACTCACGACTGTCACTGTCAATCACGACCGCTCTTCGCTATATATGTATACAGAATGACCGGCTATGTCACATGTCCCACGTACTTCATTGTGGTCTTAATAATAATAATGTCCTCTAGATCGTAATTTGGTCACGACGTCTAGTCTCAACGGAGTTAAGTTAGATGCGCAGGACACGATTATAGAATTTATAGAGCACAAGTGTTGTGCGCGCAAGTGCGGATTCACTCTTTGTTCCCTCGCTTTCATAAGCTTTTTCTACACCAGTGCGCTTTCCTGTTCATCTTGCGTCTTTCTCTAACGCATGCCTGAAGAAGTATAGCGCATGCAATAGCGCATGTGCTATTGCATGCGCTATGCCATGCCTCTAGCGAACGCTGATCCGTCACCATTTTAATAAATATAATTTAAAATTTTGTACAGCCGATTTCAATATAAGTTTCATATAAAAAAGCTCAGCTTTCATTTAAAAAAAAATCATCGAAATCGGTTCACCCAGTAAAAAGTTATGAGGTAACACACATAAAAAATAAAAATAAAACATACAGTCGAATTGAGTACCGTCTCCTTTTTGTAAGTCGGCAGAAAATGGCGGAAGACAAAGTTAAATCATTAGAATTTAATGGATGATTATCGAACATATCAAAAATTGTGGCACCACAAGTATAACACAAATAAAATAAAAAGAAACGACGCGTTGATTTTTCTGAGCCAAAAATATAATTATGATGTAAAAACAATTAAAAAGAACATAAAGAGCTTGAGGTCATACTTTTCAAAGGAACATCAAAAAGTTATGATGACAAGGAGTGGGTCCGGAATAGAAGATAATTACGAATCTTCGTGGTTTGTCTAACCGAGGCGAGTGAGGTATTGTGTGGTAACCGAGTTGCATGCGACGGGTATAGACGATAAGCTGTATGTGTCTTATGGCACAGCGCTTGACGCAAGACGAACTGAAAGTTGAAGCGCGAAATGAACATTAAAGTGAAATTGAAATCGCACTGGTGTGACATAGCCATATAGTGCGATAGAACGGCAATTCCACACGACTAGAGAAATATCAGATGCAGGATCAACGGTCTATCTTTCTTGAGGCACGGGGAAAACCTCACCAAAATCCTGACTCCGGGCTACTGCTGAGAATATCTTAATCAGTAAACCCAATAGCTGATATTTTATGGTTTTATGTTCTTAGGATTCGATAAAGTAACAACACATCTGTGGCCTTGGTTTGAAGTTGGTTATAGGTGTCTATGGGCTGCAGTAACCAGTTATGAGTTAGCGCGTTTATTTATAAAATCGGGAGCACGTGAAAACGGCCGACATTCACAGGGGGAACTTGAGGGGGGACACTTTTAAAGGCACACTTTCCTGCTCTAAGAACTGAGAAGAGAAATGAAATGAGCTCTATACCCAACAATTGGACGTAATGAGCCACTACTTTACTTTTACCTCTATTTATTATTTTTGACGAGAACAATATTATAAGGTTCTTAACCTCGAAGAGTTTGACTTTCATAAATTCACTTTTTTGTGTTGACAATTATTGTTATTTTCCTTACAAAACATGGAACAAAATTTTGGACTGATACCATTACCATTAATAGTAATATTTAAACGGCCTAATTTTACAAATAATTAGTGTTGTTATTGTTCACAGAGTTCCGATCAATGAATTGGGCGTGGTTGCCGGAGAGACTTTTTCCGATCGTGGTACCACTATCACTACTGTTATATTAGTAATAATCCACGAGGACTTCAACCCATTCACACTATTAGCTGATTTAGCTTTGCTTCGTACATATGAAGAATTTGTTTTTAAGTACGTACGATATGTTTAATAAATTTTACTGTCGTGATCTATCCTGTAGCGAGTTAGTGTTATATTGTTTTTATTTTCTAATATAAATTAAGCTTAAAACGAAGTCGTAAGCGGCATGCGTCAATAAATTTAAAAAAAATATCTTTTCAATTCGTTATTTTATAATTTATGCAAACAACTCTACTTAAAATATGATAGGTATATTCATCTTGTACAAGAAAATTTACAAATCTAATGCTACACCGATTCGCATAGTATTTTGTATCTGCCCGAAGGAGTTCAGTTAACTATATGTATGCTTGCTTTCATTCCAGAAAATATTATTTTCTATATTTTAAACATAAACACACAAGTATTTCGTTAGTGATTATTAAAATATTATTTTTCTGTGGTGCTATTTTTTGTCATACTAACTAATCATTATTTTGAATGCAACGTGTATGCTGATTATATTAAATGAAACGGTATGGATTTCTTCAGTTAAAGTAAGGGTGTCAAACGAGCATACAGCTCAATGCTGCCGTATATATACACCTTAATATATTTACGATCAATAACCAAGATGCAGACGCATTGTCACCTAGAGGATAACGATAGAGTTCCTCGTTTCCAGTAAATAACGTCTCCAGTTTTTTTCACATACGAAACATTATGCTGTTATTTCATGCTAGTGATCTGTGTATGCGTAGTCCTTTCCCGATCGAGGCGAACCTTTCGTACTGCAGCTATACAATCGGTGCGGCGTGGCTCTATGAGACTCTCGAAGAAAACAAATTTTCTTTACTTATTAATATCTCACCAGAAAATTATACATCATAGTAAGGACTGTTTGTGAATCGAAAACTTATTTTATATATTTTTTATCCAAAACTAAGACAAATAGAAAAATACGGAGCGTCGCGTACTTTTCAAGTAACGTTAAAACGAAGCAAAAACCATACTCAGCTTATTGTAGGAAAATGGACTCACTTACGCATGTATTTAAAATCATTTACAACCAACAACATAGTTTTAGGTGTATATTTGTGTTTACAGCAGTGAACTATTCCATACATTCATCACAACATATAAAAGTCCAATGCTGAACATAGGCCTCCTCCTTAGATTGTCTCATAAGGGGATTTTGCCATAGTTGCCATGCCTGGCATGTGGATTGGTTGTGAAATTTTACAGGCTGTTAAAGAAAGAAAGAACGATGAGAAATGTGTGCTTGAGTGTCTAAAATTTGAGAATGGTTCACTGCTAAAGTAAGTTATTAATATATATTTTGTTAAGGTTATGGTTCTTTTTATATTTGTAGTTGATGTAATTTATTAAAGTTCTTCTTCGTCATCATCATCAGCTTGTAGAAACCCACTTATGAGTATTGGCGGTTTTTTTTATATGAGAGGGGGCAAACGAGCATGTGGGTCACATGTTGGTGGCTACTCCCACCCATGTACAACTACAATGTGCGTAGTCGATCTTTAAAAAAGAGTAGGCTCTTTTCTTGAAGGTTTCTAAGTCGTATCAGTCTGGAAAAATCGCTGGTAGTAGCCTATTCCACAATGACGCCTTGCGGGGAAGAAAACTTTTAGTAAATCGCACAGTGGACGACCGCCAATCATCCAGATAGATAGAAATGGTTTTGTTGGATCTCTTCCGTTGTTGGGGAGATTAGTTTTAATCTTTAATCATCATGATTGACAGGCGGGTTAACAATCGTCATTCATCACCTATTTTGCGTTATTTTTGTATTTCTAAACTATCATCATTAAGTAATAAAAGACAAAACTGTTTTAAATATAATTTAAAACTAAAAATTTTGTACAGCCGACTTCAATATAAGTTATTAAGAATAACTCAAAAACTATTGGTCTGACCTTGATAAAATTCATATGGAACCACACGAGAAGTACCAGCTTTCAAACAAAAAAACTATTGGTATATCCAATTGAGCATGCCCTAATCGCATTAAAAAATTACGTATAACATGATTATACGGAATTTTTTTAAAGTAGTTTAAATACACACAAGTTTTCCCTAATAACCTTATTATACTTCCAATTTTCCGATAATTTTATGTCAAACTTCAATTTCACTTTTTCAATGTAGCATCAGTCATGTCACTCCATAAAGTTCAAGACGTATTTAAGTATAAATATGACATCCTACTTGCTTTTAGTAGGTACTACTATTATTTATTCAGTGCTTTTAAAATATTGTAATAAAAATCTCTGATTATTATAATAATCAAGTAATATAAAATAGTAAGAAATTTGTTTTTCAAATATTTTCTATTTATTTGTACAGTGATCTTTTTGAGCCGCTGCAAACAACCAATACAGTATCCACTCACAACGGCGGTGGACGCGTGGACGTCGTACTAACCGAGTGAGGCAGTCTATTTACTAAAATGATTTCACACAAGGCTGCTCAAACACCGAAAATGTCGTCATTTCGCAGCCGAAAAAAATTTATTATAACTAAACTAAACAAAATTAAACCGCTATTTACATTCAATGGCTTCCCACATGATAGATGAAGAGCTTTAAAAATATATTGAGCTGAACAATTGATATTTTCAAAAGTTATAGTGTTTACAAGCCTTGCGGACTTGATAAATCCACACCATAAGCCACTAAAACACCTTTTTTAATTTAAAAATAGCAATTAATCGATTTTAAAAAAGTATTAATAAGTTCAACAATCATTTATCTTTATGACAATGTGCTTTTTATATCACTTACATGTACAATATGATTGCTAGATACGATTTCATGCGACAAAACGTTAGAATCTTAATTTTTAGGCCCTAGTAGAACATACCTATGCGCGTTGCGCTTACGGCATGCAAAAATAATCATCGAAATCGGTTCACCCAGTAAAAAATATGAGGTAACACAATAAAACACATAAAAAAACATACAGTCGAATTGAGTACCGTCTCCTTTTTGGAAGTCGGCAGAAAATATAAAGTGCACACGACAGTTTTCAAAAGTCATCAGTCACATTTAGATAGTAATAAATGATACTGTTAATTATTTTAGGGTAACTGTCAGGCCGATCCCACTGGTGTCCCCAACGGCTACAATAACTGTTGGCGACAGAGTGTTCGTCACTGGATGGGGACGATGTGATTTGACGGTATTTCATTCAAAACTTCAAAGTTTACTATGCAATACTTATACTCGTAGCTTATACAGTATAAGTATAAGCTACGATACAGTACCTATATACGTCACTAATATTTCTGTTATAGAGGAGGAGAAGAGCTCCATTATCATCATCATTACAGCTCTAACAATTCTATTGCGTTTATTCAACATTATAATTGAAACTTTTTTGTATAAAATGGTAATTTCACATTAGGTACGCGAAATGAAGAAAATAGTCAAATGCGGTTTATCTTTAAATTGTATGCATACTCGTACTTTTACGCGACAATAGCCTAATGGCACGGACCGCGAACTCAAAAGGTCGTGGGTTCGAATCCGTCATTCGACTATTGTTGTGAACCACCCCTGACACAAGCATTTAACCTTACCAGGAGTAAAGTTGCAGCCTATTTACATTCCACTGCTGGGCACAGGCCTGCTCTCGTTTCTGAGAGGGTTTTAGGACAAGGAAATGTCCGCCGCGCTGCCGCTATGCCGTTGGCGAACTTAACATGTCTTCGAAATATTTTTTTCTTATTTCTCAGACATGCAGGTTTCTTCACGATGTTTTCCTTCACTGTCGAGCACTTGGTAAATCAGCACTTAAAATTGCAATTAACAATTTCATTGGTGCCGGCGGGGATCGAACCCGGGTTGCTCGAGTACTGTGCAGCTAGGAGTACTTAGTTCAAACTTCTAACCAGAAGTAGTTGAAGGGAATATTAGTAATGTTAATTGCATTACTAGTATTTATATATATTATTAAAAAACTAGTTTTAGTTTTACTTAAATCAAATATTTATGTTGAGATTTAATTATATTAGAGCAATCTCCAATTGGAGCGCGTGAATAATTAAAAATATGTGTACGTTGCCTTTGCGTTTACCTAAAATTGTTATTTTTAAATTATTACTGTACTTGATATGTTATGTAATAAATTTTGTACTTTTAAGGGCAAAGAACTCTGCTTACCGCGTTCTTCGAGGTTCTTTCCTGGCGAAAAGATCGATCCAATGATGAGAACAGTGACATTTGTAATGATGTTACCTAACTATTACTGTGAGGGATATGAACGGGTAAGATTAGATAAATAGTCATACACCCCTTTTATTTCGTATGAAATTAGATATGCACATAAATATTTATACTGCCACCGTAGAACTAAGCTAAAACTCAAAAGTAGAAGGTCAAAGGCTAAGCGCTCGCCGTAAATTCTCTGTGCAAACTGAGTTCGATCCCCGCCGGCACCAATGAAATTGATAATTGCTATTTTAAGTGCTGATTTACCACGTGACTTCTTACTTATTTCTGCCTCAAAGAGGCAGGCAGTGCAGTTCCAATTTAAACGGTAAGAGATGTCGTGAAGCGACAATTAAAAAACAAAAGAACCTAACCTAACATCAACGATACAACAAAAATAGAACAAAAACGAATAATTTATTTAAAATTTAAAAAGGTATTTACAGTTTTATATAAAAAATGAAGTATGATGATGATGATGGGTGACGTGAATTACAAGTATTTAAAAAAAGATAATAAAGATAAATGAGTACTGAAGCGGAGCCTGAAGACCAAAGTGGCACACCGCGCTTGGCGGTGGTGCTCACCGCTCACGGAGTATGAACAGGCCGTGCCTGTGTTAGGTGCGCAGCGTCTGGTCTAGGCACACGCAGCGCCTGGAGTAGGCTCACGCAGCGCTTGGATTAGGCACACGCAGCGCCTGGAGTAGGCACACGCAGCGCCTGGAGTAGGCACACGCAGCGCCTGGAGTAGACACACACAGCGCCTGGAGTAGGCACACGCAGCGCCTGGAGTAGACACACGTAGCGCCTGGAGTAGTCACACGCAGCGCCTTGAGTAGGCGCTCTCAGCGCCTGGAGTAAGCGCGCACAGCGGCTGAAGATAGCGCGGGTACTAGTAGGTGGAGGCGTGGGCGTGGCTAGGCGACGACTTCAGGTGAAGGCAGAGGCTTGCAGGATCCCGGGGCAGTGCGGCCCCGGGATAAGGCCTTTAGGAGATGCTTCAAGTTTGAAAGCTTAAGCGAGACTAAGTTTATAGGCCGATTGTTTGGCTTTTATACCTTTTTAGAGAGCTCCGCGCTCGACGGGAAATTATTTAAATTAAAAGCAAATTTTTGTAAATTGCCAAGAAGAAAAGAGTATTTTTGTGGAAGTATTGAAGTAAAAACATCAGACCGGTAACGAATTCGTATAAAAATTGCCATGACAACCAGATAAACAACGATGTCAAAACATGTCAAATTTTGGTTTCAGGCTCGTAATAGAGAAACGGCAATATTTAAGTGAAAAATGAGATATTATTGATATAGGAAAAAAGGTAGCGTACCAGCGCGCACGAAGCCCGAAATTGCGTGTGTTGTTAGTGAGTTACGGAGAACTAAATAAAGGATCGAAAAAGGTAGACCCCATCGACACCGATTTAAAAAGTGCTGATAGCGTGAATATACGAAGTGAAAATGATTTGTTATTGTGTTCTTATGGTTTAAAAAACGTTACAGGATCCTATGGAAATAAAGGTGATACAAAATATCCAGTTTTGAGGTGAATGCAGAAAATCAAAACAGAATGGAAAAATGAATTTAAAATAGTGTAAAATGATATGTAAGTAGCATAACACTACAGAGAGCATTATAGTTACAGGCACTCCATATGCGTCGTCAAGGATTCTAACGTATCTGTGGACCGCTTCAAGTTTCACGCTTTGTAAATGGGTTTTAGACCACAGTTTGGCTTCTTTATCAGTCTGTTTAAAAGGAGCAGGTTCAGGTGTGTTGTTAGAATAACGGGATGAGATTGCGTGCGTACACCTTACTATGTCACGAGACCTGGGTTTTAAACATTGCTTCAAGAATTGAGTGTAAATTTAAATTCGGGTCTGCATAAAGTGTAATTATTCCCTGTATATAACTGAGCTTACTTTCGTATTATCGAAAAGGCGTTAGAGAGCCTCTTTGTGTGTACAATTGTGGTACTATAATAATCTCCTGAGGCAGCTTATATTATCCGATTATTCCAAAGTCGTCATCTTGATAGAAGATTAAAAAAATATCGAACAAAACGGAAAGGGCGAGGAGGAAAAAATGATGTTCGCTTACTGCGAAAATCATTAAATAATGCCATTAGGCGCAATACAAATTTTGCATATTGTTTCGAAGTTAACTGACGCAATTTAGAGCTCTCCTCGTCCATTTCGATTCGGATAAACGGGATCAAGTTCAGAGTGCATACTATCGAACCATAGCAGACATGGAGTAATAATTATTTTGAAAGCCGAACCGCTCTCTACAAGAGCGGATAAGGCTTAGAGCGAACCTAATACGTTCTTTGGAGCTGACTAAATCCGTCCGTTTGTTAGTTCTCACTAGTAAAGCTTAATTATTCTGTTCGTTGAACCATATTAAACTAAGAAGTGAACTCTGTTGCAATAGTTAAAGTACTTTGCACATATATTCTAACTATATATAATGGTTGACTGGGAGAGAATGCCTTAAGGTATTAAGTCCACCATATGTACAATTTTTCTTTTGTGCATAAAAGTTTAAATAAATTTAAAAAAGTGCTAATTTTGGGTATAATTATAAACTTTACTCGCGTGGAATTCATTAGTGTTAAAATTATGACTCTTTCTTTGACTCTTTTTTTTGCTTTTCTTGTCTTTTATGTATATTACATGATCACATAATTATGTTTTCGTTGAGACTATTTCACCATTAATAATTAATTAATGGTGAAATTGTAGCCCCCTGATCAGTGATTTGTTAGATGATTGTTAGATACGATTTTATGCGACAAAACGTTGGAATCTTGATTTTTAGGCGCTAGTAGAACATAATTAAAGAATACTATTTGTCTCTCTAACTCCTCTCACTTCTTCCGCTTAATTATGGTCACTGATCTGCCTGAAGAATGTTATCTTTTTAATGCATAAGTTTGTATCTTTATTTTATTTTTATTTGTGTTTATTATTTTTATTTTTTATTTTAGTGCACCCTACCCATTGTTCTTTTTCTTATTTTGTATTTATTTCTTCTTCTGGGTTGTCTGGAAGAGATTGCTATGTAGCAATAAGACCGCCCTTTGTATTTCCCTCAATAGTTGTTATTTTTTTATTTTTGATTTTGTTATCTTTTCTTGGTGTACAATAAAGAGTATTGTATTGTATTGTATTGTACTTACGCGCTTTGCGCTTAAGTCATGCAATAATTGTACATTTGAAGATATTGCTATTAAATTGTATAAGGCACTTCGAATAAAGAGATAATCTATGTTAAAAGTAAATAATTATATTCTATATAGAGTCGAACGAAAGTTCGGGGTTCGATTCCCCGGTCGAGTGTTAATTCCATAAAAGTTTGTTTTGAGATTAATTTAGAGTCATGTGTTACATAGTAATCGGCTATGCAATACGAATAAAAGTATTATATAAATTATATACTTATTTTAGATGAAAAAATATTTTGGCTCTTGTGATAAGAGATAAGATTCATTATGGCTAATAAGGATAGCATATGTAAACAAATAATAATGTTTCATAATGAACAGATATAGCTGTAATTTAGACAAGGAAAGCACTAGCCTCCTACCGATGAGATAAAGGTCATGTAGAAATTGGTTGTACTTGTTGTGCGAGATCTAAACAAAAATAAAAATTAAAAATAAACTTTATTAATTTGTGAAAATTTCAGTAATGCATGTAGATTTAAGTAATAAATATTTCAGGTTTACTGTGTGTACAAAAAGAATAGTGTTGTGTTAAAAGTGTCTAAATGTGTGCTAAATATAGGTAGTGAAATAATGATAGAATTATATAAGAAAATTGAAGTCGAAATAAAGTGAAAAATACCTTTAAATGTGTGAATTAAACTATTGTATTAGTTAAGTTATTCATGTTTATTAATAAAGATTGTTATTTTAACCATGTGTTAGATATTTAAGATCCATAAGTTTGAAAATGTTTTGTAAAATAGGTATATTTTGTTGAATAATATACATATATGTTTTTATGCGATAATGATGTAATGTATGTCATAATAATAAGACTTTGTGTGTGATTATTATAAATAAAATGGTGTAACCATATGTTTTATAGCAATAAAGATATATGGTAAAATACAAGGGTGCAATGGTGAAAACCAATGTCAAGATATGTAGGTATATCGAAATGGCGCGCACTGCGCGGTTCTCTTTCGCATATAGCTCGCTTATAGATACTACGTAGTACTATTATTTATTCTGTGCTTATACCTAGTTTAAATCAAGAGAGAAAAAACCGATAGGGAAGTGAAAGGAAACTAGTGAAAGTTTCAACGTTGCTCTCTTATGGGGAAATTTAGAAGATAAATCACTGTTTTATTTCCTAAAGCACCTTCCACCAGTCACGTTATACAGTCAACTACGTGGCGTCAAGACCGGGACCACTCAAGAGGGACCCGAAATCTTAGTCGTCTAACCTTTCTTTTCAGAAAGGGCAACAGACGTTCTTGTGTGAAATTCCTTCACGAGGGTCAAGTCCACCTGGTTGTTCCCGAACCCAACGTGGTGTGATTTTAGTTTCGGAGTAGAACGTCTATGACTGACTAACCCCTGTCTGTTGGACCCTTTCAATGCCTTATTCATAAGATGTTCATTAGCTTGTATCAGTACTAAATATTAATACTTGCATTTGTGAACTAACATATATCATTTGGTCTTGCTGCAGACCAGGGTTTGATTTAAGAAAACCAAATACTTAATTAAATAAATATTTCCTGCCTTTGACACTTCTTTTGCTGGACTTTTGTTTTTATACTGCTAAGCACTCGTACGAATACGCTATACTTAATCGACATTTATTGGAAGCTTATCAACATGGATTAAGATGGAACAAGATTCTTTGTACATTTCCCAAATTCGCCACTTACCACATCTACGGGATTATATAGGGCAAAGGAATATTTTTATAGTATAAGACTATACAGTTCACCTGATGGTTAGTGGATGCTGTGGACGTTGTCACACCTGAGAACTGAAATGGAATGCCTCCTTTCCTGTAAAAAAGGTCTCCGGTTCTCTACACTCACCTTACGAAACACAGCAGCATTAAGCTGCTATTTTACGCTGGTATTCTGTGGAAGCGTGGAGCTTATCCAATCGAGCCAATCCATTCGTGCTACAACCAGCTGCAGCGTGGCTGACTAATACATACGACACCAACACATGGAGAAAATTGATTATAATAAGTACTTATTATTTATTTCGATTTTCTAACAAAATTTACCTTGCGGACTGTTTTTAAACTTGCAAGAACTTAATTATGAAATATAACATTATCTTTTACAGCACGGGACAGCTCTCAGACCTGGGATGCTATGCTTAGGAACGGCGAGGGAAGATAATCCAGTAGCGCCGTGTATGGCGGTGCCCGGGGCCCCAGTGGTGTTTAAAGCTCGCCTATTAGGCGTTCAATCCTGGGGTTTTGGGTGTGGATATCACAACGACTTGCCCCTGGTTTACACAGACGTTCGTTATCATCAACCGTAAATATAAAAATATTTTATATGTAGGTACTTTATCGTACACGTTACGTTTATAAAACACCGAATCCCTTTCCATTGCTAACAAACTGTAAGGTGTAGACAATGTTATATTGTATAATATCGTATTTTATATATATACAGGGTTATTTGGCAATATACGCCCAAATTTGCAGAGAAATTTCAAAATAAGTAATTTAGGCGAATGGTGAAGAAAAATCAATTGAAAAATCTCTTATATTCTGTCCTTTTTATCTTTTAAATTCAGAATGCGTAGTAATCTGCTATTTTACCACATGCGTAAATTAACCGTACTGTACTGAGGCAAAGCTTCAAGCGCAAGCAAGCGCGAGTTTGCGTGAGCACTGGCGGCTTGTCACGTACTGAGAGAAACTGCTTTAATCCGGCTCGGCCAGTGCTCAAACTCGGGGGTTAAAGAATAATAAGTGTCAAATTTATATGTATCAAAATTATTATTCACATCAAATGAAATATAAAAACGTGTAAATATGGTTTGCTGTACTGTTTATATGAACAATAATAGAACAAATAAAAAAATATCATTTTTTAACATCTCAAAGACGCCACTAGGTAAGTAGTAACTTAACTATAATTTATTATTTTCAATGTGGCAGGTCACACATATACCTCAACATTGAAAGAAAATGTAGTAGTGCCTAATTACCTATAAGTGATTGAATAGTTATTGTTATAATGTTTATAATTGAATAATTACGTTAATAATTTAAAAATTTCGAATTATTATAATTTCAGACGACAAGAGTGGTAAAATACTGTTTACTCGAGAAGATCTCCTTTCAAAACTTTTTGATTATAAAAAAGGCAACAATATAGAATCTGTCAGGATCACTTCGAAAAATCCCGTATTAAGTTTAAAAAAAGAACAGTATAATATTATTTAGAAATGCTTTTCCAACACTCAACTTGACAACAAATGACGGTGCTCGTTCGAGTTTCAGCCATCGTGAAATGAATGTATTGTTGCGCGCCACTATTAATGTCTTGTACTTGGCAATACTAGCTACCAGCAGGGCCATCTAGTGTCGAGTAGCAGAACTGGGAGAGTCAAGATCCTTCTAGAAGTTTCCGGACCGATATGTACTCGAACATTCTAGATGTCGCTACCGTAGAAGGTTCTGGAAACTATCTGAGGCCCTATATAAGGCAGGTATAGACCACGACCGAGTTCCTCTCGGTGTTACTCACTTTCCCGATAACACCGACTATGCCCCCGATGTACTAGATTTTGCGTTACTCAAAGGAGTTTCTCTCAACCTTAGGGCAATCGAGACACTAGACGATCTAGGATCCGACCACCGACCGGTCTCTCTCATTCTTGGCCATCAGCCACCACTCCCAACACCCTCTACTAAAACCTTCACAAATTGGAAGGGCTTCAAGGAGTCCCTAGCGAAAACTCTGGACTCACAGAACTCTCCCATCTCCCTATCGTCTGACTTAGACAGTCCCGAAAAAATCGACACCGCGGTCGATTCACTCTCCACCCTTATTAAAACCTCCCTTAAGGAGAATGAAAAGGAAGTCCCGGTTGCTAAGAATAGTGGGCTTCCCCTACATATTAGCAACCTATTAAAAGCCAAGAAAGCTGCTTTCCGGAGAGCAGCAAAATATGCCACGCCCGAATATAGGCGCGCGGCCAATCGTCTTCAACGAGAACTCCGTTTCCGCCTCTCTGAATTTCGAGACCTCGAAAAGAGTAAACTCATGGAGAATATATCTCCCTCTCATACAGCGTACTATCAGATGGCTAGAGCCCTCCGTATAGACGCTATAACCCACACTCCCCCTCTCTCCCGCCCCGACGGTTCGGTTGCCTTCGAGGACGAGGAAAAGGCTGAGTGCTTTGCAGACAGTATTGCCGCTCAATGCTCTCTTAGCTCTCAACCCGTCGACCCTTCACACGTCCAGGCAGTGGAGGATGAGGTCCGCCGCCGGAACTCACCCCCTACGGCCTCCGAACCTATCTCTGTGTCCAATGATGAGATTTCATCCCTCATTAAAGGACTTAAACCTAAAAAGGCTCCGGGCTCGGATGGCATATCCAACCAAGCCCTTAAAAACTTTCCCGAGCAGGTGTTAACCCTTTTATCTATTATCTTCAACGCCTGCTTCAACCTTAGTTACTTTCCCACTACGTGGAAAGAGGCAACTGTGATTGGTATTCCCAAGCCAGGCAAGCCTCTCAACCTCCTCTCCAGTCATCGCCCCATTAGCCTCCTCAAGGCCATGGGCAAGCTCTTTGAAAGAGTCATCCAAAATCGCATGAGGCGCCATCTGTTTCCCACAGACGGTGACCCTCTTATCATTCCCCATCAATTCGGTTTCCGAGCGAAACACTCCTGCCCCCAACAAGTTCACCGTATTGTGGAATATATCCTCAGCGGTTTTTATCCCCGTCGTCATAAGACTATCGCGGTCTTTTTCGACATCGCCAAAGCCTTCGATAGAGTCTGGCATACAGGCCTTATCTACAAACTATACAAAATAGGTCTCCCCGATCGTCTAGTACGTCTCGTAGCCTCTTATCTTAATCATCGTACCTTTCGTTTTAGACACGAAGGCACGCTATCTTCACAGCGCCACATCAAAGCTGGTGTCCTTCAGGGCTCAGTTCTTGCTCCTCTGCTGTACATACTGTTCACCAACGACATTCCCATTCCGCCGAAAGGTGTTCAGCTCTCCCTCTTCGCAGACGACACTGCTCTCTACTGTAAAGGTATCTCGCTACCTTTCATACGGAACAAGGTCCAAAAGTCAGTTGATGACCTAGGAGCTTGGTTCAAAAAATGGCGCATCGATGTGAACCCGGAGAAGAGCTCCGCCGTTCACTTCGATTATAAACGACGCCGTCTCAAAAACACTCCACCAATACGTATGCTAGGGACCCCTGTCCCCTGGCATACGTCTGCCAAATATTTAGGTGTCACTCTAGACACAGGGCTAACTTTCAGGCCCCACGTCAAAAGAGTAACCCGTCACGCACGTTTTTACCTGAATAGGCTCAACAGTATGTTGGGCCGACACAGTAAAATGTCCCTCAGAAACAAGCGTACCCTTTATAAGGTCTGTATACGACCAGTCATGTCCTACGCGGGCCCCATTTTCGCCCACTCTAACCCTAAAATTATTAATGAACTCCAAGTAGTTCAAAACCTTTTCTGTCGTCGAGCTGCGAACGCACCTTGGTACGTCCGCAATGCCGACCTTCATCGGGACCTAGAGCTCCCTACAATTCAACAATTCCTTAAAAAACTCTCTGAGAACTTCTTCAAAGCCTCAGAGTCGCATTCCAATCATTTTATTCGTGAGGCTGCTAATTATGCAGCCCCACTCCCCTCCCGCTATAGTGTCCGCAGGCCGAGGAACTCCCTCTCGGACCCGCCTAATAAACTTTCAAACGACCTGAACTGCCTCCTGGCGGCTCAGGCCAACTCTAATTAAGTTATTCATAATTAATTTGCCTTCGTAGGCACTCCCTCAGCGGCTAATAGCCGCCTGCGCCCTCTTTTCCAAAAGAGGGTCGCTTCCGATACGGCATAAGAAGCTTTAAACAGCTAGTTGCCAGTCCCCAAAGGCGGTTTTAGTGGGTATCACTTAGGTTCCCCAGTAGGTAGTCACAGTGAGTCCCACATAACCACGATAGACCGGCTGTCGTGGTATGCGTAATGCATTTCCGCCTCCCTCCGGGGTAGCCCTTTTCCAATTGCTTCGGGCGCAAAAAAAAAAAACGACCGAGTCAGTATTGAATTGGCGATACAAGAGAATACTTCGAAGCGAAACAACTGCGAACCTAAGTGATCAGTAGTACAATTGTGTTTATTATCAGTGTGGTTTTAGATTGTAATTAGTGTTGTGTAATTAAAGTGTCAAGTTTGGTAATTCAATCGGTAGTATTCATTATCTCGAACCCCAAGCTCGTAACAGTATGAACTACTTGTGGAAAATTTTTTTATCTCCAAAGAAACATTGTATTTTTTTTTATATAATAGTTATGATATTTGTTCACGCCCTGAGTTGCCTCGACAAAGGTTGACTGGGCTAGGGCCCATGATTAATCCCATCGACGGGCAACAGAGGACGGGGCCCAACGACCTATGGATAAATGTTCAAAAAACGGCTAACAAATAAGCAAGCACTTACCTATTTCAGGAGGTAGGGTTGACCACAGGGTACCAGTCAGGTGATAAGTGGGGTGTATGTAAGTTTGTGTGTAGTAGTGTGTACATGTGTTTGACCTGACTTAACCGAGGTGATCGGGCAGCGGCCTGGTCCGATGCTGCCCCACGATGTGGTATCACTCCAGCGGACGTCACCAATTCAAAACTGCTGACTTCATTTCACTATTTCAGTTTATCAACTTTATTGTACACTATTTCAATCTATCAACTTTATTGTACATTTAATTAACTTCAAACTCAACTAAATCCCCGTTAATCGTAATCAAACACGTAACACACGGCACAACTAATGAACGGTGGATCAAAGTTCAACTTCCGTTTTCACTTAGCAACAAATTATTTCTAGAATCCGAACGCGACCTTCTCTCGGGTCACAAAGTTTCGCGTTCCACACAGCAAACTAAGATTCTTTCGTACGATATTAACAGGCCACTCAAGCAAATTTAATATTGCAAATGCACTTAAAAATGCAATCCTATACAAATTGATGTAAATTACTCACGAGTCTAGCGAAAAAACTGCAATAGTAAATTCCATACGCATCAAAGACCGGACGTTGATCGCAATCAATATTAACTTCCAAAACAATTAATCCACCCGGCGTCCACGCAGACAATCTATTTTTCTAGACTAAACAAAACTCCTCGTCGTTGCATAAATTTGCTAACAAAAACCGACACTATTTAGAGGTTATACGGTACGCGACCACACCGTTCTAGTGACTGCGCTGCACTGTTTTAACTTCCGACACGCCACAATTACTCAAACTCTAGACCATCACAACCAAAACTGGCCGCGCGCCACCGATCCAGCGGTCGCAAAAAATACAACTGACAGAGCCGCTGCGGTCAAGCTACTGTTGCTAGCCCACGAGGCCGAACGCCGGGAAGCGGCATACCCCCCCCCCCTCACCCCGCGGTTCTCACGTCACCTCACACCATCGGGCGATGCGCTGAGTCAAACGCGATTGGATGCAGTTTCAAATGCCCATGTTTGGGCCTAAACACTACTAAACGTTATTAATATTACCTTTAACCACTTCTGGTAAGCTTAAAATGCTTGTGTTAGGAGTGATTCATAACAGTAGTTGAATGGCGGATTGGAACCCACTATCTTTCGAGTTCGCGGTCCGCGCCCTGCCATGAGGCTACTGACGCTTTGTTAATGAAATATTAAAACGTGTGCAAGATTGTATATTTGTTATGCCACGTGAATGCTTTCCAATATAGATAATTAAAAAAAAAACTATACATTAGATTATAATTTACTATTTAATTAAAAGGTACACCAAATTGTTGAAAAACAGAAATTATGAAAATAAAATATTTAGAATAAGTTGCGTGTAAAAAATATTTTATCTTAAGTATATAACAAGTTTTTTTTATTTAATTTTATCCTCCCGTGCCAACCCTATAAAAATAGGTAAAAATTTTGACAGCTCCGTAGAAGCTTTGCCTCTGCTACGCACGCACACATTCGTAGAGGTCGCTTGTGCTTGGTCGGCAAAACGTTGCGAATTAAATCGCTCACAGAGGAGGCGTACGCGTAGTTGTTGGCATAAATCACATTCAATTTGGGATAGTTTCAAATAAAAGGTATTTACTCTTAAAACTGCAATAACGGTATATCATTATTTATATACTTAAACTTAAATAATATAAAGAATAACCCTGTATATTATAAAAACATCAAATATCAAATAAATGTATATTCTTTCTTTCATTCTTGATATATTTTTGATTATTGTTATTGAAATATTGTTACATAATATATTTTTGCTATAAGGTTTAATAAAAATTCTTAAAAAAAAAAACCATTTATTTCTTTCAGATGGCTAGTGCACAATATTCCAAAACTACGACATCTGAATCAGAGTAATTTAAAGGAATTATTCGAAGCTACTAAAGCATTCACCTTGTCCCAATGGCTTAGCTTAACAAGGGGCGACATCGAGCTGTTGAAATTTAAGAAGTGTACTGACAAAGACATTTCACGATCTAATATAGACATTGAGTTAGCCAAGTTACGTGGTACCGTATACGATATTAGAGATTTTTTGTATAAGACTAAATATCGCAAATTAAAGCAAGACATGTTACTAGATATTAAAAACTCACTTATGAACACAACTGCAAATATTAGTAATGTAACGTGGTCAACTATGCGTGGTAGGCCATTTTTGAATAAATATCGACTTGAAAATCAAGAAGAAGATCATACAGTTTCAGATGGCACAAATGCAACGGAGTCGTATGGTAATGTAGATGGCAAGGGTCATTCGAAATATGATGACAGCGATTCTGATGATTATGAACTGGGAAGTGATGACGTTGAATAGTTTATTGTTTAGTCATTTCTGTCTATCAAATGTTCTGAAGGAATATTCACTCAAGATAAAATACTGTCATTTATTTATATCGATTAAAATCTCAAAATGAATGAAGTTTTCTAATAAGTTTATTTACATAAAGTAGAGTTGGAACAGCCCTAAAAAGTGATTTATGAACTCGTGTGGGGTGTTTCGTTTGAACCCTAGTGTTTTACAATTATCGTTGATTTATAATGAAACTAGCTCATCGCCCCGCGGTGTTACCCGGGCCCAAATTGTATCGTCCAGACAAACATGATTCACGCTTATTATAAGATTACATAATACGGAGCTCAAGCTATCCATGCAAAGTTTTTTATTTTTTTAAGTGATAATTATCGCAGAATTTGAGTTTGATTAAGGCCTGTCGAATGGTAAAAACCTCTTTAACAATCTTTCTCTTCGTATTTCAGTACATCTTCTTCAATATATCATTTTGTTACAGCTGTAAATCCTTGCCTCTACATATTCGCCCTGCTCAATTTTTCCCTTCAAAATCTACTCTCAAAGCTACTACTTAGAACACTAATATTTCCCATCATATTTCCAGTCCTTTCTTCCTTTCTTGTATCTATTCTTCTTTCCTGAACTGTCATCATCTTGGGTTTTTGTTTTTATTTTTTAACTTAAGTGCACAATTTACATACATCGCCATTTATAGGGCTTTTGAAAAGTATTTTCAGTAAATATCGAGATAATCGTCCCGTAAAATAAAAATATTCATAAAACTGTAACGCCCTATTTCCCCCCTTTTTAGGGGTTGAATTTTCCAAAATCCTTTCTTGGTGGACGCCTACGTAATAAATGAAAAGTAGTGTCTTAATATTACGATCTATGTCCAGTGGTTTGATTAATGGGTCTAAGCAATATTTTTCATATAAAGTTTGCACCCTCGTTTTAAAACCTTAAACGTGAACTAAAAAATGTGGATATTTTATAATTTTAATTCAAGGGTATTCGCACCAAATTTCAAATAACAAAAAAAAAACATCAATTATTTTTTCTTCATAGAAATTTGAACGAGCTCTGGCCACTGTGTTAGAGAGTTTTTTGAAAAATTTCAAAATGGATGTTCATTTATTCTATTCCATTTCTATATAGTTGGTGTTCTATTCACAGAATGGTTTCAGTGAAGTGCCGTGTCACTTGCCCCATAAAATAAAGTCTCATACAAGCTGTTACACCCTATTTCCCTCTTAGGTGATTAATTTTCAAAAATCCTTTCTTAGTGGATGGATTATAAAGGACAGCTACTTGCTCTATGTAACACAGGGCACCGACGGACCGGAAAGGATATAAGTAGAGAAGTAGCCATACGCAGGCGTTCCCTTTTCTTAAAATATATATCCACGCGGTCCGGCGCAAGAAGTTAAGGAGTGACGACCTGGTAAGATATACAGGAAGTCGATGGATGCAGGTGGTTCAGGGCCGTGTTTTGTGTCATTCCTTGGAAGAGGCCTGGACGTTCTGAACGTCCATTTGTAAAGGACTGTGATAATGATATAACAATGAAGAAAAATGACCACATTCACAATCAAGCTTGTCCCACTCCCTTATTAAGGTATAAAATAAATAAAAACAAAATTGTTTTGAATAATTTATTTGGTTTAAATCCATTGGTACATTTCTACGGTATTACATTTTATCATCAAGACGAATAACGTGAACAGGCATTCAATACTTTTCAGAAGTAATGTTCTTTCAAAAGAACATAAATTATAAAAAATAATATTGATTTAAGAAAGTAAAATAATGCAAAGCTTTTGGCTAAGATGAAACTAATGTCTAAATCTAAAATTGGTAATATGACACGCACTTAACGAACAAAAAGAAATAAAGAACACCGATTTAATTAAATATTGAAAAAAAAAAATACTACACGAAATAGGAAATATAAATGAAGTTAATAAGTTTTAAGAGCTAAATTATAAAAACAAATGGCATTAACAGTCTTTTAAGTGCCAATAGCACTCTTAAAATAACCTCATTAGTCAAATAATATATACAAAGAAATGTACGAAATTACAAGTTAATCCTTGATTGCTAATGGAATGTGTGTTGACGTCAGACTAATACGTTTATCCTAGTCAACTTTGAGTCCTTAAATTAACTAGAAATTCCGCGCCTTATTACAAAAAGTGATTTTAAGTTAGTGTCTGATCACTGGCTTGAACTAGAGTCAGTTTCAATCAAAGAGATTCAAAGATCGTTAATATTTAAATGTCTTTGGTTTTAATATAGAAGTTACGTGAAAAATATGCGAATAGAAATGTAAAGTATAAAATCCGAAAGTAAATGCCAAATTTCGCGACGACTACGGCGCCGCATAGTGAACAAGGTGGTTCTTTCGTGACAAAGACTAAACCCGATACTATCAAACTATTAATAATCAATAACGCACGTTTTGTAATAAGAGCGTACAAGTCAAATAGCATTCCATTACACGCATTTAATGCCTATTCAGAAAAGTTATAATTCTAATATTTATCTTAATATTAATAATAAAACATTTATTTCTGGATTAACATTATATTAAACATGGCAATAAATACTATTTATATTTTGAAATATTTATTAATGAAGCATATTGTATTGAAGCAAATCAATTACACTTAATTAGTGAACAGTAGGAAAATAGTGATAGCCTGCAAAAATTTCAACTTAAATTCAATTTGAAATTGATATAAAAAGAAGAGAAAGGTTTTTTCTTACTCAATACCTTATCACCTCAGTTAAAAAGGTTACACAGAGTTGGCACTAAGCCATTTGGCATTCTTTTCTATCCCATCCAAGGTATTAAGAACTAAGGTTATATGTATAAAAAAACAATCAAACATTTTATAGGCATCACATAAACAAAAATTCACAAAATAATCATTTGTAGATACCATTTATCGTACTGCAAATTAAGACAGAAGTACAGATAAACATATAAGAATTACGTTTACGAGTACACGAACATGCTATAGATTATGATTCATTCTACTGGTATAATAGTTAGGGTATATTTACCAACGCCTATTAGTTTATCTTTGGTATGATTTAAATATAACACAACATTTAATATCGTAAATACTAATAATTCTATGTACGCCGAAACGTTATTAAGAATTCTCGGCTACATAATACTTAATGACATTGTTGACGACGGTACAGACGCATCTCACTTGTAGCGATTGCAATCCACTCGTTCCTAGCGGAATCGAACCAGGTCAAACCTAAAGTGTATTTCCCATTAATGTTAACATGTTGGCAATGGGAGAACCAAAAACCACCCTCATAGTTACCGGCGCAGTGGGTGTTCGAAATATCGCGATCGCGGTCAATGGCTGAAAACTCCATGTGGTTTTGATACTCGAATGCATCGCTTGCATTGCCTATGAAGCCGCCAATCTCCAAAACATAACCAGAATCCGCGTCACCAACGTAGAAGTTTTCGTATTGAGCGTACCAGGAATTGCCGTATATATCAGTCATGTCAATACGCATAGAGGAGCAGTTGTCGAGCGTAAGTTGGTGCATAGATTCGAGTCCAATCCAGTATTCTGAAGCAGGGTTACCGAATCCGCGTACATATTCAGAGAACTTTCGGTTGAATTCCACTGTGCCATTATAGCGGCGTTGGAGCAGGGTAGTTCCATTAACGCACCAAGTATCCACAGGAGCATGGCCAGGATGGATCAGATAATCACCAGGAGGGCCAGAAAAGCCAGTACAGTCTTTGGGAAGTTGGTTTACAAGATCTTGGAACTCTCTTTCAACAGGCTCCAATTCCTTCACTTCGTTCATAAGTTCTGGTATGGAAACCGTAGTTCCATTGATAAATATGTTGTTGGCCTCACTCTGTAAAGAAAAAAGCTTACAGTTAGGACAGATCACATTGAAAACATAATTATTATTTTATTTAAAAATACAATATAGTTTTAACATAAACTTGTTTCGTTACCTTTAGAATATGATCGTTGAGACGGTAAAAATGTTGTCTGGAGCGATTCTCAAGTTCAGCAATTGAGTCATTAATCTTTTTCATAGCTAAACGGTCCATCTCAGCACGGTCGATGGCATTGCTTACGCTGACGGCAATCGCTTTTACAGACTGTCGCAAATTCTCCTGGTCCTCCTTCAGATAAGACGATTGAGCGTTGAGCTATGGTGAAAAAAAAATATAAATAAATAATACTACTGATTATTGAAAAATTATATAATATGCATGTAATGTGATATATACATATATTGAATAGAAACAGCAGTTAAATTGCTAAACTTACTTGAGCGAAATTGATGTCCAACTTAGAAATCTCCTTTCGAAATTCGGGTATAGTCTTGTCGACCTTATTTTCAATACTTTCGACATCCTCTCGCAATTCTAACATGGAGGAGTGAACTTTATCGAAGTCCAAAACTTTCTGTGTGGTATTAGAGAGATCGTTACGGATGATTTTATTTTCAAGTTCTAGAAAATCGACTTTGGCTGTTATAAGGTTCCAGTTAGGTTCCTCGTAACGATCGAGACGTCGTTGTACGTCAAGTAACTGAGTTTGTAAACTCTGTTGAGACTCATCCAGCTGGTCTTGACTACGAGCTAGGCGCGAAATTTGAGCATGAATCATCTTGTTATGACGCAATTTGTGGGGTTGTTCATGTTTGAAGTTGACCAATCGAAACTCACGGGGTTCTAGTACTTCATTGTACACATCATTGTTTAATTCCTCGAGCTGTTTTGTTTTTATCTGAAACAAATAAGGATAAATAAATAAAGTTGCGAAAATGAGGAAAATAAAAGCTAGTAGAAAATCAATATGCGACGTCAATGACAATGCTGGTAAGCTGTTTCATAAAATAACACAATATAACGCCACCATAATAATTCATTCAATTAAATTTTTACGTGGGACTTGTGGTAAGAATGTGCCGACTGTGTTAATTGTGTACATTGTTTTGTGATTGTATAGGCGATGGTTAGTCACTTT